GGTTATCTGTCTGACTGTCGTTTAATACTTAGTTATATATCTTGTATATTTGTGTTAGACATAAAAGTTTTCACTCTAGTTCGATGCTTCTACCTAACGAAGACACTCAATCAAGTACTCAATTTAACTATAATAGGTATAGTTAAGAACTACCACTCATTTATGATATTACTATGATACAGACTATGATCAGTACAATTACAAGACTATATGTACAATATACGATATAAGGAGAACACTATACACTATACTAAGGAAACACTAATCATTACAAGAAGAAATACTATAAACTACAACAAGAGAACAATATAAAGTATACTAATAGAACACTATATACCATACGAAAGAAAATACTACAACAGAATGTGATGCACTATCTCTTTATACGACCTATCGCTATGCGATCATCAGATAACTATCGCCTCCTGGATGGAGAGCGACCACTACATGTATAGATCTATACGGGACGGATATTTTCCTCCATCCCAACTGCTAGCTACAGTCTGAGCCTCTTAGGCCCAAGGATGAAAAACACTACTACACTATTGGTGACCTGGAGGGTCACCCACTACACTACTATCACTCAGTATGGTTACATATGAGCTCACATTCAATTAAACACACATCCCGAGGTGTGTACACAATTAATACTATCTGTAGTTTACATTCACTAATACACTTAACCGGCAGGGATGCTGCTGGGGTGAAACTATGTTAATTCTCTATAATGAACAAGTATAAAACTGTATTTTTCATTTCTGATACGTTCATAAGAAAACTGATTATATTTTCAAAGAAACGAATTTACAAAGAACTAAGTCTTGGTAGAAGACTACTTTTGCTGGAAAATATGGGATTTTCTAGGGATCAAATCATCTTCAAACCTTGTTAATAAATGCCATACTATACGATTTGCATACATTTTTATACAAACAATGACACTAAATACTTATGAACTCACCAGCTTTATGCTGATACTCTTTTTCAAAATAACTTGTATTCTCAGGTGAAAAATAAACAGGTACTGGTGCGGTTTTTGGGAAGATGGAGCACATATAAGACTCATCTTTTATCTTGTTCATACTTTTGGTGTCTACTTAAATGTACAGAACACACATGCATTAAAATTAACATATTAATGTAATGAATGTTGTTGCTTGTTTTTACTATTATGCATTGTTATGATACTGAACATGAAGTCCTCCACCCCAGAACGTATTCCGCCGTTCTCGATTTTGGGGTGTGACAATCACTATGGAGAATTTGTCGAACCAAGCACGTAGTGCTTGCTTGAGACCATACAAAGCTTTGCCAAGCCTAAAAACTCACCCTTCTGGTGCAGAATTCCTAAGGGAGGAGACATATAGACCTCTTTATGGATGTCAGCATTCAAAAAAGGCATTTTTGAAATCCATTTGAAAGATCTTCCACTGTCGAACAGATGCAATTGCAATTATAGTACGTATTGTCATCATCTTTTCCACTGGGACAAAAGTCTCATCTTAGTCAAGGCGAACTATTGGGAATACCCTTTTGCTACAAATCTAGCCTTGTACCGCTCAACAGACCAATAATATTTTGTTTTTATCTTATACACCCAACGACAACCAATAGTATGTTTCCTACAAGGAAGGGAAACCAAATCCCATGTATGAGTCTGATGAGGAGTAGGGGGCTCCTCAGCCATAAAATTCTTATAAAGAGGATCCAATATAGCTTCTCTATATGATTTAGGTTTAGACAGATGGTGGATGCTTGTTAAAAATGAAGCAAATGATATTGAGTATGTAGAGTATGAAAAATATGGAAGATTTTTGGAATTAATAGGATGAGTAGACCACTTGAGGGGAGGTGGATGTAGGTCTTCAATGTCACCAGTCCCTACGTGTCCTGAGGTAGATGATCAGGCGGTATGGATGAATCTTGATCCTCTGTATTCTCATTAAAAGAATTAATATACTAAAGATCTTCGTTACATTATGGGTTGTAACAGTAATCAAGTAGAAAGAAATATGAATCAAAAATGTAACATCCTAGGAAGCATATAGCTTCTGACTCACATGAACATAGCAATGATATCTTTTCAATCTAACACCATAACTGAATAATACACAAATAGTAGATTTTTTTCCAAACTTATTCCTCTCAGCATGAAGACGAAGATCAAAACAATACACCCAAAAACTCATAGAGCAGAGTAGTCTGGTAAGATGCCATATAGCTTTTTCAAAAGGAGACATTCATGAATTCAATGTAGAAGGAATACGATTAATCACATAAACAACAGTTAAGACTGCTTCTCCGCAAATGGCACTGGGAACCAGGGCATACAAGAGCAATGAGCGGGTTGTCTAAACCATATAGCACATCTTAATGTTGAGTTTTAACAAGACCTCTAAAATTGCTGTAAATGCCAAGGATATCAGATCTGCGATTCATAAGATAAACCTAGGTATAGCTATTATAATCATATATAAAAGATACATACTAGGCTGACCCACCCTTTTTGGATACTGGTGCAGAACCCGACACATCAGAAATGAATAATATTAAAAAGAGCAATAGCGCAAGATATACTTTTACTGAAAGGTAAAGCAGAGAATTTTGCTAGAATACAACCACTATAATTAGACATATCACAAGTGTTAAAATCACCTAAAACACCACTAGAAGCTAGAAAACACAAACATGATACATATACATGTCCCAAATGAGAATGCCAAAGATAAACTGAGACGGCAAAGGACTCAAACGAAAAGAAGACAAATCAATGTTAGAGGCAGTAAAAACAAAAACTTTAAGAACCTCCAAGACATAAATTTCTCCCACCCTATGGCTGATCCGAATAACCTTCTGAGTGTGTTGGTCCTGTATAACTTAGAGGAAATCAGAAAAGAACACCCTATTACTAGACCTACACAATTGGCTGGCCGAAACAAGATTCATTTTGAGTTTGGGAATATAATAAACATCAGGGTATGAGAAATAGAAACAGACCCAACACCCTTAACTATCATAAATATATCACCAGCAGACATAACAAAGATAGATGACATGTGTGACAGAGAAGTAAACGATGAAAAATAAGGAGAAATGCAATGGGTTGCACCCGAATCTAATATCCATAAAGATGAAGGTATACTGGAGGCCTTGGATGAAGAAGGACCGAAATGAGACATAAATACATACATGGTAGTAGGATTGGAGGCCAAATAATATCTGAATCTATTAGAAACCTCGGGATCCAATGCAAAAGGTAGCATCTTGCAAACAAACTATGGAGAGCAAGGTGTCCATGGAGAAGCACTTGAAGAACGTGGCTGAAACTTTTGCTGACCAGACCTATGTTGTTATCCCAACTGATACTAGCTAGATTTACCCTTGTAAACTAACAATGGAAACTTAGCTTTCCAATGATTTTTCTATTTGCAGAAGGCGCATTAATCATGAGCAACCTTTGGATTTTGATGAGACTGATTAGTGGAAATACCAAGAACAACAAGAGTGGAAGTCGGAGTAGAGATTGCTTTAGACCCTTTATCCGTGTGAGACTTGATATGAGTCTCTTCAGCAATCAGCATATAAAACAATAGAATCCACTAAGGGAAGAGGGGAACGATGAAGAATCGTTCCATGTAGACCTTCAAAATCAAATGCAACGCCATTAAAAACTAAACCAAACGTTGTTTTGCCCTCCTAGCAATATAAAGCTGAAAATCTTTTAACTCTTTAGATTCTGTAAGAGCCAACAGGCCCTATAAATCAGACATGGTAGCATAGAAATCTTGAATACTAATATCATTTTGTTGAAGAGAACGAATGTCATATTCTTACTGATACTGTTTAGCAAGATTGGACTGAGTATAAATTCTCTCGAAATGGTTCCACACTTCCTTTGTTGTGTCATATTTAGGCAATTGCATACCAATAGACTAAGGAACATAATTGTTAATCCAAGTAATGACCTTGGAATTATCAGTCTCCCAAGTATAAAAAACAAATCGAAATTTTCAGCTTGAGGTACTAATGGTTTGGTTGTAGTCCTAGCGACATACCCTTATATATTCTTCCCACGAAGGAAGTTCTTCATAACGTAGATGTAATAAGTGTAGTTCTTTACATCTAATCGTGCAATGATTGACTGAAGGGAATCATACTTTCCGGTTATGATGGCAACTTAAAAAAATAACCATAATAATGGACATGTAATAAGAGAACAAAAACAACAAACCAGCAGAGGCAACCAAATGAGCAATAAGAAATCGAACATTAAACCCTAGAATTCGAACAACAACAAATGTATACTAACAAGCAAGCAAACATCAAACGAATCAAACATCAAACCCTAGAGTTCTATCCGCGCCATAGATGACTGCTACAAAACTTGTAACAACGTATCAAACCCCCTCTCTATTACCATGACAATAGAATCATGTGATTAATGAGAGAGAGAGAGAGAGAGAGAGAGAGAGATTGTAAAGTTCTTGAAAAGCATAAAATCAAAGAACAACAAAGTGGGGATATACAAAGGCAAACTAAGCTAACCCTAACCCTCATGGGCTAAAGACAAAAGGAGCCTGAAACAAGTCGGCATATAATAAACATATACTCCCTCCGTCCAAAATTATTGTCCACAAACGAAAAACACATAGATTAAGAAAATATTAATTATCACTAACTTTATTAAATGAAAATGATATTATACCATTTTGTTGCATTTAATTATATCATTTTCTTGCATTTAATTCAATGATATGTTAATTAATAATGAGGGGTATTTTGGTAAAAGAAATATTTATTTTTAGAAGTATTCTATTATTTTTGGACAAATTAAAAAGAAGACATGAACTATTAATATGAGACCGAGGTAGTATATGAAACAAAAATATCACAAAAATGTTATTAATTGGCATCATAATTAAGGAAGGTATAATTCCAATTATTTCATGCAAAATCCAAAATTTTAACAATACATACCTAAAAAAAAAAAAACATAATGATTATATGGAAGCACTATGGAGGACCACTGTATCAACAGTGACACCAGGTCCAAACCCCAACAACACACCCCACTCGAGACCCTCTCCCGTGGTGACAGCGCCCTGTGTAACGGAAGAGTGTCGCATTTCATTTAGTATAAAAAGGACACTAGGGCTTGACAAATTTCCATATTCAGCCAGCACATGTCGTGAGGCCCGAAGTTTCTCGGGCCTGAGGCTTAATTTTTCCTCAACCTGATCCAGGATTGCACGTCCTCCTGGATGTGCGATCCAGAACAACGAGTTCCAGTCGCTGATACCCAACGGTTGAAAGGCCTCAACCAAGCTCCTTTCGATGTGTTTCCCGATAAGTTCGGGAACATCTCTGCGAAGACGAGTTATAAACCCGGCCTGGCGAATGTGCCCTTTAATGGCACCGTCGCTATCCGGGACAATAGTTTGGGAAGCAGAAACTATTTCAAATAGTTCCTTCTCCACGTCAGGTATTGTGTCAGAACCAACTATGACCGCAGCAGCTCCATCACCAAACAAAACCTGGCTTACAAGGTTATCAACATGGGCCTCATCTGGACCACGAAAATTTGGTGTAGTGATCTCTGAGCAAACAACCAATACACGCGCTCCCTTATTGTTCTCGGCTAAATCCTTTGCCAAACGAAGGACAGAGGCACCAGCGAAACACCCTTGTTGGTACAACATGACACGTTTAACAGAAGGACTTAGGCCGAGGAGCTTTGTGAGCTGATAATCAGCTCCTGGCATGTCAACACCGTAGACAGAGCTAAACACCACGTGGGTGATCATCGACTTGGGTTGGCCCCATTCGTTGATTGCCTGAGTTGCAGCTTTTGCACCGAGTTTTGGAATTTCCGCAATTGCAATATCTTGTCTTTCGTCTAAAGATGGTGCCATGTGAGCACAAAGGTTTGGTTTCTCTTTTAAAATCTCCTCGGTCAAGTGTATGTAACGTTTTTTGATTTTTGAATTATCACCTGAAACAATATTATAATAAAAAAAATATCAATTTAATAAGATTATGAGATATAATAATAACATTTACATGCATTATAATATAGCTAGCTTACACATCCGTTTAAATTTTTCTTTAAGTTCTGTCTTATGTTCGCAGTTTGTTACACGAAAATAAAAATCTGCATATGTGCTTTGAATCACACAGTTAGGTGGTGTAGCTGTCCCGATGGCCATAATTGTCGCTGGGCCTTTGGCTCGTTGCGCCTCTCGGAACTCCACTGTGCTATCCATTTCAGGTGAAGCTAGAAACCGTAGCTATGAGTGATGGTTCAATTTATAGAACGCATAAGGGTTAGGTAGATATAATGTTGGAAAGGTATCACATATATAATTTTTTTTTTTTGATAAATGTGTATTACATCTATTTTAAGTTTAATAAAAAAACCCCATAAAAATATAAATGTTATGTTTATATGAAATAATACGTCTGAAGAAAATAATTCATAGTGAAACCACATCCATTAAATTGCTTAATAATTATTTATATGAAAAAGATTTATAATTGATTGAATGATCGATATACTATACACATATATACATACATACGTATATTCATACATACATACATACATACATACAAACGGTATTATTTCATGCTATAAATATAACTTGCTCTCATGTGAATTATTCATCAAAGTTGCTAATATTTTTGTACAACAAACTACGTTAAAGGTCTGTAAGGTAACTTCAGATCTCAAATCACAATAATGGAAGACTTTTCATTTTGATCTTTTTATTTCTTGTTGAAGTTATATATAAATAATGATTCATGAATCTAGCTATGATGTGATGAAATGTGTTTTATTTTAAAAAACTATGTCATAACTGCTATCTCATTTATAATTAAAGCAGGTTTGCTTGAATGGCACTATCGTCTACCCCCCCTGATCTCAAAAAGTTTGTGGTCGATGAAGGCCATGGTGTGAAGGGTGTATCCGAACTCAACCTCAAAATTTTACCTGAGTTGTTCATTCAACCAGTTGAAAGACGGCTCGATATGAGCAAAGTTCTGCAAGATGAATTGATACAAGTAATTGACATATCGGATTCTGAAGACCCTCAGGTAATAAAGTCGGTATGTGACGCAGCCGAGAAATTGGGATTTTTTCAAATTGTTAACCATGGTGTGCCTCTAAGCATAATTGAGAGTGTTAAAGAGGCGACACATAAGTTTTTCGGGTTGTCAAGCAAAGAGAAAAAGAAATACTTGTCCCAGAATACTCCTTCAAAAACTATTAGATACCTTACAAGTTTCAGTCCGGAAGTGGACAAAGCCTATGAGTGGAAAGATCAACTAAGTTGTTTCTATGTTTCGGATGAAGAAACCTTGAAATTCTGGCCATCTGTTTGCAAGTAAGTCATAGACATGCGTAAGTCTTAACAGTTTACTCAATTTATTAAGGGAAAATGACTTACAAGCTAACGAAGTTTTCAAAACGTTCAAAAACGTTAATTATGTTTTGACTGTTAAAAAAAAAACCCAAAGAACTTAACCTTTCGTCTAAAAAAGCACAATGAAATTTTCAAACCATTCAAAAAACCACAATCATGTTTTGTGTGTTCAAAAGATTAATTTCGTTGGATTTTTTTGAAGACACAAAACATAATTGGGGTTTTTGAACGGTTTAAAAACTTCGTTGGTCTTATAAATCATTTTTCCGATATGGTAATAAGTCATATCATATGTTTCTCTTCTTTGACATCCATAGAATTGAATAAAAGTGTAACTTAACTGACATGTTTTAGACAAAAGATTAAGTTTATTGAGTTTTTTTTAACAAACAAAACATGATTGAAGTTTTTTTGAACGATTTAGAAACTTTGTTGGACTCGTAAGTCATTTTCCTTATTAAACAGGAAACTCATTTTTTTCCTTTTTTTGAAATGTCGCTAAGACTAATCTTTTTACTTCTGTAGGCATGAAGCACTTGAATATTTGAAGACATGTGATTCAGTAATCAAGAAGCTAATAAAAATCCTAATCACAGGATTGGGCATACCAAACCTCAACGACACGTATGAATCATTATTTATGGGGTCAAAACGAATAAACCTAAACTATTATCCTGTATGTTCCAACCCAGAGCTCTCAATTGGCGTTGGTGGTCATTCAGATGCTTCAACGTTGACTGTGCTTCTTCAAGACCAGATAGGAGGACTTTATGTTCGGAAACAAGATAGTGACTGTTGGATCCATGTCCCTCCTGTTAAAGAATCATTGACAATTAACATTGGTGATGCTTTCCAAATCATGAGCAATGGTCGATACAAGAGTGTAGAACATATAGTGGTTGCAAACGCGCATGAAAACCGGATTTCGGTTCCTATCTTTGTGAACCCAAGGCCGAGTGATGTAATCGGCCCTTTGCCAGAAGTGATGAATAGTGGGGAAAAGGCTTTGTATAAGCAAGTTCTATACTCGGATTATGTGAAGCATTTTCTCAGGAAATCAACTGATGGGAAGGGCACTATTGATTTTGCTATGATTTGATTCTGTTTCTTGAAATAATAATGTATCCGAGTCCAAGTGTTTTGGAAGCATCACAAGGATCTTGAAACGACATATGGGAAACCAATTTCTATCTATTTAGATTAATAAATTTTTACAAGGATGGTGAGTTCTTGTAAAGGATAAAGAACCGTAATATTTGCAAATTTCAATTTCAGTATTTTATTAGATTCACTATCAATTATCTTAACATATTTTTCTGCCGTTCAAAAAAAAAATTATCATAACATATTTATCACCCCAAACCCCTTTAAACTTGTAAAACCCCATTGATTCGATAGTCTATTTTATTATGTTTGGGATATGGATGCATTAGTCGATATTAAGCAAATAAAAGCCAAATTAAAATTTTGAATAAATAACTTTATAACCCCTTTAACCTACTGTCTCGGATATTAATGCACTAGTTGATATTGAACGCACTCTACATCAACCGCTTTCCTTTCAAATACTAGCGGATGTTCTAGCCTCCATACTTCTAATCGACTTGTAATAAATTCTAGCCTAATAATAATCTTCTCATATTACCAAAAAGACTTTGGTAATGAGGGGTTTATAAGGTTGTGGGTTCAAGGCTCACCAGAACTATGAGTAAATTAGATTTGACATTTTAAAAAATAGAAATAAAAGTAATTTTGATATTATCATAACATTATATCTTAACGATTCTAGAATAAATTCAAATACTATGGGTGTGTTGGACAACAAACTTTTAGCTTCACAAAAATGTGAATATATTGCTCTAATGAGTAAAAATAAAAACACAGAAACACACATTGCTTATGGATTTTTTTTTATATATTCACATAACAAGCTGACTTTCATTGACTACTTAATTCATTCGGAAAGATCAATGACATTTCATCTACCATCACAACCTTATATTATGTAATGGTTAATGATTGAGGTCCAAGGGGCAGAGTCCTTGACGATGGTAAAATTGATAAATCTTATCAATTTAGGTAAATATTGATTATGCCATTAATTTCGTGATTCTCCTAACTAATATAAAATACATAAACCCTAATTTGTCTAGTATAAATAAAGCTCTTTAATTGAGTCATTATACCCTTCTCAGCTCTTCTTCTTCTACACAAACTTAAAACCTTATGGCAATTTAGCTTGTGTTTCTATGCGTAAATACACGTGTCATTTTTAATTATCCTAGGTTAGATTTCCTGTAAGTCGGACATACGTACATACGGTGGAAATGTCAGTTTAGAAAGTGAACTTACACGATCCTAGAGTAATCGAGTTCTACACCATCACCCTACTCAAATATCCTCATACATGTTACTCGATAATGGAGATAAATATATCTTTCAACTTGGTTAAATGTGTGGAAATTTTTGTTTCAAGTTTGTGCTTAACTCTTGCCCGCACATCACTATCTAATTAGAGTCCCATTAGTCAAGGTTTTTAATTGCATGCTAACAATTGTTTGGCTTCTAATCAACGACATGATTTCTTTTAATTTTTCTATCATATCGGTTTTATCTGTGTAGAGGTCTACTTTTGTGTTTTCATCATCAACATAAATGTAAGAAGTAACATCTCACATCTGTTGATTTTTACATTATAACATCATCTAGTAGAAAAATAGTTACTTACAATTGTGAAAGAATTACCCAGAATTTCTTATTAGGACATTGACTTTGACAAATCAATATGACTATAACAATCTTGTCTAATTCTTTTCCTTTATTATAACATTGTACTTTCATTCTTGCTTATTAAGACAGTGTAGTTTCAAATATCCAATGAATTGTAATGTGCTACCTTTGCTTTTTAAGTAGCCTAACTAGCCTTTGTTGGTCGTGCTTACCATGCGCCTCAAGAATTACCTGCTATGTATAAAGGTTTTTGGTGGTTTGACTCAATATATAACACATAATACATAAATATAATCAAAGTGCATTAACTTTACTTCAAAAGATTTACCATCTTGAGTTTGTGCAAGGGATATTGAATTATCAACATGGCAACAGATTTACCACTTGTGGTTTGTGTAAGGAATGTTGAATTTTCAATAGGTTAAATCTGAAGTGGATTTACTTAGGAACATTAATATGTTACTAATGTTTCGTTAACGTGACACTAATATATAAGCATTGTTGACAAATTAGCAACGGAGTGTAATTTTGTTTCTAATATTTCATTAAATGGTTACGAATTTCACTAAGTTGGGCCCTATGCGGTCGCATAATTGACATGTCGTGACATGTGGCCAAAGCAGGCCCTAATTTTTGTGTGCATTTGTCGAATGTGCATCTTAATCGTTGTTCATCCGTATTAACTCAACTGATATATGAGCTATGACATAAGTCTTAAATATTAGGATCGATAAATTTGAAGTACACAATAAAAGAAGAAAAAATGTATTACTGGTTTTGAGCACTATAACACTCTTATGGTGCACATGCAACCCAAGATGCTTTGGATCTAAGTTTTCTCTAATTATATATGCAATTTTACTTTTCCAAAGCACACACCCTAACTAGCATACAATTGAAGATATTCAACATAAAACCAAGTTAGTTGAATACCTCTTAGTTGTCCTTCAAAAGCTTTAGCACTTCAAATGTGATGCATCTAATGTGTCACAAACACCAAATGCAAAGGAGACCTATGAGAAGTGGCTAGGTAGCTCAAAATCGGCTTCGACTCTTCTTAGAATACATGGGGGCCGATTTTGGTGAATATGGGATTGCTTTTATAGTGTGGCAAAGCCTTGGGTGTCATCCATTCAAACCCTAATTCACATGACCCTTCATATTTCATAGGTTACATGGGTTAAACTTTTATGGACTATCATATATGTTTAGCCTACCCTAATTAACCTTGGATCATAAGCCTAACTATAAGTATTACTGATTCACTTAAGCAGTCCCCGTATATTTAATCAGTCCTTTTTTATCACTAAATTAATTGCAAATTAATTCTTGATCAATACTAATTAAATAATATGAATTTTCAATTAATATACTATACTTATTATATATTAATAAATCACAAATAACCTCTTCTTAAAAAGTCCATCCTATCAAATTGCTCTAGTGAAGGTAGTCCAAAAGAACCATTCTATTATCGGGTCAAGTACATACCAATTATAGTTATGGGCTTAGACACCTAATCCAACAGTGTCCTACTTAGATAAGTCTAATAACTATAATTGTCAATGTATCTTCAAAATCCGATTAGCAATCCTAGCTATCAAAAGTCGATGTATTAGGTCTGACCTAGTCAGTGATGCGTCCTTTAGATAAGGGATCATGTAATCCTCTGTTGTTCAAGATATCATGCGGACAAATACATAGAACATAGTCATACTTATTGTCATGCAGTTTGTTCCCCGATTTCTGATTTGTTTGAAATATAACTTAATTGAACACATCAATTAAGTCTGATTGGGCGCGACACATAAACCAAAACAAAACCATCGAGGGGCCTAAGATATCACTTTTAATCCTCTTAGGATAAACGCAACAGATAAACTTCGACTTATATGCTTCTACTAACTACTCGTTAAATAATGCACAACAATATGTTTTATAACATCAGGTTACAGATGCATTTTCATACCATTAATGCATAACCACTCATAGTTAACAAATCATATATCTTCGTATGAAGACTATATGATATTATCATCTCACAATCATTCATGATAAATTCCATGAAGTGATTCATTTGAGCGTGGGTTTAATCCAATACTCAAATCTTATTTCAAAAGCACTTATGAATGTTGTAGTATACTTTTGCTATGTCTAACACCTTAGACAATCTACAAGTCAATTCATGACAGTCTAGCCTCATGACGTACTCCCAAACTATGATCAACTGTGGATAGTTTGAATAATCTTATTATTCTGGAAGTCAAAACTTGTAAAAGTGAAACAATAGTAAATAATTGACATAAGATAGTAACTTTACTTAAAAAGAAAACTCCTTTTATTCAGTAATCAAATGTCAATTACAATTTAGCTTATTAAAAGTTTCTAAATATTTATCTAATCACTAAAACTAACATCGTCCTTCAACCCGATACTCTTAGCATGTTACAAGTGTTTTACCCTACTCACCCCCTTTGTAAGGGATGTCACACCCGAAACCCAGGGCGGAAATGTTCTGGGGCGGAGGTGACTTCATGTTGAATATCATAACCAATGTACATAGTAAGCGAAGTAAACACAAAACATTACATTGCATAGATTTCATTACATCTGTTTAAAAGTAAAGTAATACAAGTTTCGTAGATACATAAGTTTAAACAAAAGAAAGACATGACTTCATACGCTCCATCTTCTGCAAAAGAACGCAGAATACCTGTCTAAGAAGAACCTGAGAATACAAGCAATTTAAAAATCAGCGTAAAGCTGGTGAGTTCATAAGCGGTTTGTTTTATAAAAATGAACAAGATTCCTTTTGTTTTCTAAAAAAGTGGTTATCCAAGAAAATCCCATATTTTCTTAAAAGTAATGTTTAGTTTTCCGTTATGTTACATAATTCTGGTTATTAATAGTTATTACCCCAGGAAAATCCTATATTTTCCTAAAAGTTGGTTACCAATCCGAAATGTAATGTAAAAGATGTATACCGAAAACCTGATTATCCTTGTGAAGTGTATGTTAGTTTTAACACGTATATAAAACTATCAACATAGTAAACTAATTTCAAAGGTTATTAATTTAATCCAATACTCAAATCTTATTTCAAAAGCACTTATGAATGTTGTAGTATACTTTTGCTATGTCTAACACCTTAGACAATCTACAAGTCAATTCATGACAGTCTAGCCTCATGACGTACTCCCAAACTATGATCAACTGTGGATAGTTTGAATAATCTTATTATTCTGGAAGTCAAAACTTGTAAAAGTGAAACAATAGTAAATAATTGACATAAGATAGTAACTTTACTTAAAAAGAAAACTCCTTTTATTCAGTAATCAAATGTCAATTATAATTTAGCTTATTAAAAGT